AGCCAGAACAGGACAAATACACCAACTGTTAATTAGCATGCTCTCATACTCTGGAGAATGCAGATGATTGGGAATATAGGATAGATAATAGTGACATCAATTAAAAGCAAGAAAACAGTGTCACACCAGCTTAATTGGGGCTAGAACCCTGAGATGAACCCTATTGAGGGGCTGGGAATGTGGCTTAGTGGTAGAGTGTTTGCCTAGCCTGCATGAAGCCCTGGGTTTGATTCCTCAGCACAGAAAAAGCCAGAAGTGGTGCTATAGCTCAAGTGATAGAATGCTAGCCTTGAGTAAAAGAAGCTCAGGGACAGTGTCCAGACCCTGAGTTCAATCCCCAGCATTGGCAAAAAAAAAAAAAAAAGCCTATTGAGTGCTTATTTGATATTGTATTCTCGGTACACCCAAACTCTGGTCTATAAAGCCTTGGAAGATGAATCCTATGGCTGTATTTGAGGGTTAGGAAGGTTGTAGAACTTCAGTTCGTGAAGCAAGCTTGGGAAAAGTCAAGGGAAAACCCAGCCTTGATAGTCAAGGCACTGGCAGTATGAAGAACATTTTCTACACGAATTGTAAACATAATGAAGCGGGTAATGCATGAAAAGAAGGGTGACAGTCAACTAAGAAGAGATAAATAGTTCAATCCTCCACCAAACTCTCCATCTGACGATGGAAATGTACACACTGCTGCCAAAAGCTCCTACCTAAAGCCAAGAAGCAACTCACATTGACAGTCATCCACCAACTCACATTGTAGACTGTAACCTGCTCACTGGGTGAAAGACAAAGACAGCTGAACACAGGTAGCTTCAGCCTATAATCCTACCCACATGAGCAGCAGCAGAGCCTGGGTGCTGTCCCTCAGCTCTTCAGCTCAAGGCTAGCACACTACAACTTGAGCCATAGCACCACTTCTGGCTTTTTTTTTTCTGCTTATGTGGTGCTGAGGAATCGAATCTAGGGCCTCATGCATGCAAGGCAAGCACTCTACCACTGAGCCACCTTTCCAGCCCCTCAGAGAGACTCTTACCTCCAAAAATCAACAAAAAGCCAGAAGCAGAGCTGGGGCTCAAGTGCCAGAGTGCCAGCTTTGGGCAAAAGGCTAAGGGATAGTGCCTAGGCACTGAATTCAAGTCCTAGTATGCTCTCTCTCTCCTTCCCTCCCTCCCTCCCCCCTCCTCTCTCTCTCTCTCTCTCTCTCTCTCTCTTACACACACACACACACACACACACACACACACACACACACACACACACACACACATACAGTGAAGGCAAATGCTTCCAAGAGTGGAGAAGGAGTTTGTGCTCTGATATGAGAAAACTGGGAACATTCTAGAGGCCGTGGCCGGGGTTTGAATGTAGATATGTTTGGGGGCTCCAAGAACCCCAAGCTCCAGATATTACCTGAATATCATCACAACCAACACAGTTGGTTTAAAACTTACATCCTACAGAGAGATGGCTTACATCCTACAGAGATAAAAACCAATTCACGAGAGCAAAGAGACAGGTATACATGTCTGCCCATTGATCTGTCTCTCAGGGGCCGGACAAAGGCTTGTGAGTTAGATCCGTAGGGGAGCAGCAAGGAGCTCAAGATAGTAAGTACTTTTCTGTTCCTCGCTCTTTAGAAGTGACCAGGCATATAGGAAATCTTTTGATAGGAATGCTGCAGAGGATTCCTGGATATCAAATAAGTGTCTGAATGTTCTGGCTTCTTTCTTTCTTTCTTTCTTTCTTTCTTTCTTTCTTTCTTTCTTTCTTTCTTTCTTTCTTTCTTTCTTTCTTTCTTTCTTTCTTTCTTTCTTTCTTTCTTTCTTTCTTTCTCTCTCTCTGTCTCTTTCTCTCTTTCTTTCTTTCTCTCTCTGTCTCTCTTTCTTTTTCTCTTTCTTTCGTGTGTGTGTGCTGGTCTCAGATCTTGAACTCAGGGCCTGGATACTGTCCCTGAGCTTTTCTTGCTCAAGGCTACTGCTCTACCACTTGAGCCACGGCTTCACTTTCAGATTTTTGGTAGGTATGTTTTGGGGTTTTTTTTTTGAGGATACAGAGTCTTACAGACTGGCTTCAGACTGGCTTCAAGCCGTGATCCTCAGATCTCAGCCTCCTGAGTAGTTTGGATTACAGGCAGCTCTCAACTGAACTTTCTAGCTTTTAAAAAATCTCTCAGCCCTGAGATTCTGTGAAAATGTATGTGTGAGTGTGTGTGTGTGTGTGCACGCACACAATCTCAGCTGTGATTAATTTTCTGGCTTTTTTTTTTGCCAGTTGTGGGGCCTGAACTCTGGGCCTGGGCACTGTCCCTCAGCTCTTCAGCTCAAGGCTAGTGCTCTACCACTTCCAGCTTTTTCTGCTTATGTGGTGCTAGGGAATCGAACCCAGGGCGTCCTGCATGCAAGGCAAGCACTCTACCACTGAGCCACCTTCCCAGCCCATTTGGCTTCTTATATTGATAACTATGATCATGGCTCTTACAGCATTTACAATATTTATTATATGCCAAACCCTGTGTTGAGCTTTTTAAAATATTTTTTGTGCTAGTCCTAGGGCTTGAACTCAGAGCCTGGATGCTGTCCCTGAAGTTCTTTTTTACTCAAGGCTAGCACTCTACCACTTGAGCCAAAGTGCTACTTACAGATTTTTGGTAGTTAATTGGAGGTAAGAGTCTCACAAACCTATCTGCCTGGGCTGGCTTTAAATCATGATCCTCAGATCTCAGCCTCCTGAGTAGCTAGGATTACAAACATGAGCCAGGTACCTGTGTCTGGCCTGTGTTGGGCTTTTTATCTGCACCATCTCTATGAGGCGGCTTCTGATGTTTCCCATTCTGCAGAAGTACAAGTGTAGGGGAGAGGGAGAAACGTCCCTAAGTTCTTCACGCAGAGGGTGTTCTTTTCTTTTCTTTTTTTTTTTCAACGTACTTCCCACTTCTTCCTCTTTTAATATTATAACCTTGGCAGGTTGCTGGTGGCTCCCACTTGTAATCCTAGCTACTCAATGGGTTAAGAACTGAGAATTAAGCCCAGACAAATAAATCGAGAGAAATGCTTATCTCCAATTAACCAGCAAAAAGCCAGAAGCAGAGGTGTGGCTCAGGTGGTAGAGTACCAATCTTAAGGAAAAAAGCTAAGCAAGAGCATGAAGTGCTAAGTTCAAGTCCCAGTACTAGCACACACATAAAAAATGACAAACTTACAAAACATATCGTCATTGGTCTGTCGAGGACATTGTCTGTCCAAAAAGGATTCCATCCCTTTAAGTTTGTATTTTAGCATGGGACTGAGACAGAGGAAATGAGCAATTACAGAGGTTCATGTTTAAGTAGTGAAAGTGTTGTGACACTCTAAGCCAGCAAGAAATCCTGAGAATGGGTGAGTTGCAGAGGCCACAACAGTTTAATGATTCTTCATTTCAATTTGATATACACTTGGGAATGAAAAACTGTGTCAGTGTGCCTGGAGACTCTGAGTACATTTCAAATAAACCAGGAACATGGTAGCCATGCTGGTGCTTCTGTTCTCAGTTTCTTTACAAAGCTAAAAGAAGCATCTTTTTCTTTCTTTTTCTTTTTGGGTCTGGTCGTGGGGGCTGAACTCTGGGCCTGGGCTCTGTCCCTCAGCTCTTCAGCTCAAGGCTAGCGCTCTACCACTTGAGCCATAGTGCCCCTTCTGGCTTTTTTTCTTTTTGCTTATGTGGTGCTAGGGAATCGAACCAGCATCTTTTTCTTTTAAGACATCTTATTGCTCGTGTGTGTGTGTGTGTGTGTGTGTCTTGAATTCAACTCAGGGCCTAGATATTGTTACTTAGCTTTTGTACTCAAAGGTGACATTCTATCACTTGAGCCACAGCTCCATTTCCAGCTTTTTGGTGGTTAATTGCAGATAATTGTCTCACAGTCTTTTCTGCCCAGGCTGGCTTTAAACCACAATCCTCAGATCTCAGCCTCCTGAGTAGCTAAGATTACAGGTATGACCTGACTCTATCTTACTTATTCTTGTTAAGGTTAAAGCAGCCATACTGTTTAGCCAAGGATCATGTTAACAATCCATATAAACAGAAACTTGTTCAATGTTTGTTTCTATTGCACTATCACGGAAAGACATTTCTGGAATATTAGAGGTATTGCAATGTGTCCAAAGGAAGGACTGGAAGCTGGAATTGCTGGAGGAAGGTATGACAGAGTGGAAGAGATAGAAGCAGTGAAGTAGTACGAGTTGAACAAAGACCAAATGAGAGGGAGAGGGCAGAGAGATGAGTGGACAGCCGTAGTATACAAGGAGGAGCACTGTTTTACAGTGCACAGCCAGGGCTTGGAGACACTGACTGGGGCTTCCGACCTCCAGTAGAGCTTCAGTTTAGTCACACCAAGGTCCCAGGACTGCTTGAGCCATCTCTACAGAAGTCTTGGACCAGTGGCTATGCAACTGGGGTGGTAGCATCAGAGATAAGTGACTACACACATAATCCCCATCTTTCACAGATCCCTTGCTGTATCATGACCAATAGAAATCTCAACCCAAAGCTTCAATAATATATAGGAAACAAAAGTAAAGGTACAGCATCCTATAGATCTCCTTTGTCCCAAATGCAGAGACATTTGGGTGGCTGCTTAGATGATCCCTGTCCCCAGATACAAGAGATTATGTGTGGTCCTGGCATTATGTGATAGGACCCCCAAAGCATCTTGCAAGTCCTTTTGAAATCAGTCTCTTCCACTCGCAATGGCTCTTGAAGATGGAGCTCTCCCTGGCTGCTCCTCACTGAGCAGTGTCTGAGCATCAAACACTTAACTCATCTATCCCTGAGGCCCTCCCAGGGAGAATAGTTTATTTCTCTGCCCAGACTCCTGGGCACGCTCTGCTGCTGGACTTTCAATACACTCCTAGGAAGGCCTTCTCTAGCCCCTGTATCGCGTGCTGTTGCCATCTGACCCTCCCCAGACTTGAGGCTGTGAGCAGTCTAGGGCTCAGAAGAATGAGAAGAACAATCATCACACTCACCAAGTGCAGGGTGTCGGCCTTCTGTGTCTGCCTCTGTCGGCTCTTCTGGGCGGCAATGCGATTTTTCTCTCTTCTCTGAACTTTTCTCACATCATCTGATGAGTCCTGAGAAGCAGAGATGATGAGAATTAGGCAAGTCTGCTCCATTTTCCTGAGTTAAAACAGGTTTTTGTGGTACCTATCTGTTTATTCTTCCTTCTGCCCATCCATCCATCCATCCATCCATCCATCCATCCATCCATCTGCCTGTCCATCCATCCATCCATCCATCCATCCATCCATCCATCCATCCATCTGCCTGTCCATCCATCCATCCATCCATCCATCCATCCATCCATCCATCCTTCCTCCTTCTATGTCTTCATGTCTTCATGCTCCCAGTCACTCCCCAATTACCAAAAACCTGCATACACACACACAAACAAAAATAATGTTCTTCATCATACACTGCTGTACATCCTCAGGTGTCTCTATGCCTTTTTAGGTCAAAAGCTACAGGAAAGAAGCTAGAGACCCTGAGGCCTCTATAGGGCTGGGTTGTTGTTGTTGTTGACAAAATTGGTTGGCATTGAAGTATTTCAGCACCTCTGCTCCCTTCAGAGTTGTGCACATACCGTCACCCTTTTTTTTTGTCAGTCATATATGGCTTGAACTCAGGGTGTGGGTACAGTTCCTGAGCTTTTGTGCTCAAGGCTAGTGCTTTATCACTTTGAGCCATAGCTCCAGCTCCACTTCTGGTTTTCTAATGGTTAATTGGAGATAAGAGCCTCATGATCTTTCCTGCCCAGGCTGGCTTTGAACCAGGATCCTCAGATCCCAGCTTCCTGAGTAGCTAGGATTACAGGCATGAGCCACCAGCACCCAGCACCCTGTCATTCTTTGTAAAGAACCCTCTCGTTGTTCTTACTCTCCTGAAAACCTTGTTTAATACCTAGTATGTGCCTGCCTTCATTTCAAGTGCTTTCCTGAGATGTTCTTAGTTAGTTCTCATTTCTGTGGAGCAGATACCAGCATTTCTATTTTACCCGAGAGGACACTGAGGCTCTCAGATCCGGTCTGTGAGCTCACAGTAGTATCTCACTGGGAATGTGGTCTCTTCTGGTGCTGAAGCTGGAAGTATTTCCAAGAGTTCTCACCACCAGCAAACTCACTGCTCTGTACTGCAGGAGGACTGCTGTTGCATCCCTGAGCAGAGAGCCTGACATCTGTCTTTTCTTTTCCTTCTTTCCCTTCATTGATCTCCCCCAGCTCTGACCTTAGCCATCTTGACCTTCCCCCTGCACCTAAGCCTTGTACAAATATGATGCCAAGAACTCCATTAATTAAAGAGAAAGCTACTTTCTTTGGTGGGTCATGGATGGGTGTTTGGAAGGATGAGAGAATTTGGGTGTCCTGTAATTGCTCCCTACAGAAGAGTCTGACCTCTGTTTGACCAGGTTTGCCCCTGCTCCCCTGCAGGTTAGTAAAGGCAGAAACCTTTCCTGCCCTGTTCCCTCACACAGCCCTGAAGGCAGGAGGGGCACAGCTTCTCAGATAACACTGAAATCTTGTGCCCTAATGCTTCCAGGTCATCGAGTTAGGCGGGAAGCAAATGTTCTAGGGAAGAAGGTGGCGGGAAAGCTACCATGGAAGCCATGAGTAACATCCTTTCTAAGAAGAGTAAGGTCCAGGTTTCTAGGCAGTGTGATGCCAACTAGGCCAGAGGCTGAATTGTCCACCCTCTAGTGGTCCTCAGTGGAACTGAGGTGCTTCACTTGTGATAAATGACAGATACCATATTTTGAGAGCTCCCTGGGTATGTGTGCATAAGGGAAGAATGCAGTTTTTAAGCCACAAAGGTGGAGACAATTTTAGTCCATGGATATAGGTTAGCTAAGAAGGAAGAACTCTTCCTCCAGCAAGACAAGTAAAACATGTGACGAGAGAGTCCAGAAGCTATATGTTCTAGTAACCTTCATGCTGAGATCTTTGGAAGCCAACCTAGATTCTAAGCTCTTAGAAATCCTACCTGCATTTCCTAGTTTCCCTGGAGCTGAGGCAAGTGCCTAGTGAATATCTCTAAGTCTCCAGGGCCACTTCCTTCTTTATCCCCTTCCTCCTTCCAGAAACCACAGAGATAGAGGCACTGCTGGCTCCAGCAAACCTCCCATTCCCTCCACCTTGTCTGGGCTAGCCACAGAGGCTGGCCTGTGGGTGCCTATGTGAGCCTCCTGTGTGGGTTCCTCCCCTTCTAGCTAACTTGCCTTTCTCATGTATTATTATTAATAATAACAATTTTGTACTTTTTGCTCACATCTTTTTCGTCTTGCCCTATTGGCTCTTCTTGGAAAATAACATCTCTAGGATTTAGGTGACGCATGCCAGCACCCACTAGAAAGTTCCTTGTAGAACGATAGACCCTTTCCTCTGAGGCCCTTAATACTCATTCTCCTCTTTGCTAGAAAGCTCCATGATGGGAATTCCAGCAAGGCAAAAGCCACGGGGTGTCACTGGAGGGCTTTGACAGAAGCGGGGCAGGATCTCTCTACCCCTTGCACAGCTTTGCTGCAAATGGTGTGTCTGGAGTCTCTAATAGTGCTTGTGCCACAAGCCACTTCCTCCCACCACAGCTCCCAGAAAGAGACAGGCAACCTGCTTGTTCTATGTGCTCCCTCGCCCCGGAAAATCAGAAGTAGGAGAAAGGGAAAGGGCACTCTACCTGCTTGCCAGGAGGAGGAGAGCGGCTAAAGCTGGAGTCACTGCTGTCTGAGCTGTGGGGCATGGCTGAAGTCTTCCGGCCCCTCTCGCACGGTTCCAGTCCCCTCTGAGCAATCTTGTCACCAGCTGGCTTCCCTTCCTGACTGATCGGGGGCCTCCAGCCCTCCAGCCTCCACAGGTGCTTCCCTTGTCTATCCTGCAGCCACCTCTGACCCCTGCGTCCTCCTCACTCTGGGGTACAGAGGGACTGCTCCCCAAAGGGACATCTCGCTCACTTTGGGGCTTGCGCGCGAGCCGTCTCTTGTGGTTTCTGGTAATTCATGCTGGAAGTCACATGGGCGGAAACTTCAACAAGTTAGATAGTTGTTTGAGAGAAAAATAGATATCTGGGAAAAGACCCACAGAATTATGTGAAAGAAAAAAAATTACATAAAACCCCAGATATCTTCCGGCAGTTTGAAAGGCAGAGTAGCTCTCTTCAATTGATAAAGAGAAAAGAGAAAAACAGCCAGGCAGGGAAAAACCCCAAGCAAAGTTAGCAAGTCAGTCTTCTGTCAACATGGTAAAGAGAGAACTTGGGAAAGAGTTTCCATTGTCATATGACCACAATAAAGCAGTAAACTGGTGAGATAGCTCTGTGGTAGAGCAGTTGCCTAGCATTTTCAAGACCTTGAGTTCAATCCTTAAGTACCACATAATAAATAAATAACCTTCATGAGCATGTCTATAATCTTGCCATGAAGGAGACTGAGACAGAAGGGCTGTGCATTTAAATCCAGCCTGGACTACACAGTGAGATTCTAATCAAAGGGGGAAAAAAAACCCTCAAAAATCAAAAGGGTTGGGCACCAGTGGCTCATGCCTGCAGTCCTAGCTACTCAAGAGGCTGATATCTGAGAATCACAGTTTGAAGCCAGCCTGGGCAGATAAATTCCTGTAAGATTCTTATCTCCAATTAACCCACTCAAAAACCAGAAGTAGAGCTATGGCCCAAAGTGATAGAGCACTAGCTTTGTGCAAATAAGCTCAAGAACAGAGCCTAGGCCCTGAGTTCGAGCCTTATGACCAACAAAAAAAGGAAGGAAGGAAGGAAGGAAGGAAGAGAAGGAAGGAAGGAAGGAAGAGAAAGAAGGAAGGAAGGAAGAGAAGGAAGGAAGGAAGGAAGGAAGGAAGGAAGGAAGGAAGGAAGGAAGGAAGGAAGGGAGGGAGGGAGGGAGGGAGAGAGGGAGGGAGAGAGAGAGAGAGAAAGAAAGAAAGAAAGAAAGAAAGAAAGAAAGAAAGAAAGAAAGAAAGAAAGAAAGAAAGAAAGAGGAAGGAAGGAAGGAACAAAGGAAGGAAGGACGAACGAATGGGGGGGAAAAAAAACACTAAGACTGGAATTTCTTTCTGGTTTTCAACTGACTTACAGCCCAGCCAGTCTCTGGTGGTCTGAGAACAAAATGGCCCAAGAGCATTGTTCTTTCTATATGGTCAAATGACACAAACAGCTAGGGTTATGTGAAAGCCACAGGGAGGTGAGAAGTTTATTCATGGCCTGAGTCCCTTGGTGGAGAGCTCCCCTTCTCTGTAGAGAAAAGATGTCTTCTTAGTGTGTTTCTGACCTTGGGCAGACCGTGGAGCTCCATGACCTTCATTATCTTCATCTGTCCAAGAAAGCCAGAAGCCAATCACTAGCTGGTGGCTCATGCCTGTAAACCTAGCTACTCAGAGGCTGAGATCTGAGGATTGTGGTTCAAAGCCAACTCAGGCAGGAAAGTCCCTGAGACTCTTATATCTCCAATTAACCAGCAACAAGCCAGAAGTTGAGCTGTGGTTGCACAAAGAAGCCAAGAAAGAGCATGAGGCCCTGAGTTTAAGGCTCAGTACACACACACACACACACACACACACACACACACACACACACACAGAACAAAAAAGAAAACTTGTCAAGGTTGTTGCAAGGCTCTTGGAACAAATGAACAGCATGAAATTAGCACATTACTAACACAGGGCAGAGCATGCCACAGAGAGGCTAAGCTGCAGAGTGCATTGTTAACCTTGTTACCAGCCTGTTGGCAGTGGTTTTGGTAACAAGCCAATCCTCACCCTGGCACTTGGGCTTTTTAAAAGCATCTTTTCTTATTCCTAGTGTGGTTCAAAATCAGATGCTGGCCTTGCTTCCGCTCAGGATTGGCAGGAAGTTGGGGCCCTAAAGCACTTCATTCTGTAGACTCAAGCCAATGTTGTCATTAGCACTATGCTCCTGTGGTGGAGGTAGGCCAGAGGTGACAGGTGCTGTGGATTAAAACAGAGCAGAGTAGGGAGTGAGGCATGGCCACAGGCCAGTGGAGGCCATTTGTGTTTGGTGATGAGTAAGGACTGGGTAGATGGAGGCATCTGAGCAGAGACCTGAAGGAGGGATGCGGGAGGGTGGGGTATCTAAGGGAGGAACATGCCAAACAAGGACTTCAGCAAGGGCGTGAGGTGTCACAGCACCTAAGGAGCAGCCAGGAAGGTAGCAATGATGTTTGGGTCATAACAGGCAAGAGATGAGGTCAACAAGGGAAGGAAAGCCATGAGAAGGATTTTAGCTCTCTGTGTGTGTGTGTGTGTGTGTGTGTGTGTGTGTGTGTGTGTGTGTGTGTGTGTGTGTGTGTGTGTGTGTGTGTACGTACGTACCAGTACTAGGGCTTAAATTCATAGGGCCTGGGCATTGTCCTTTAGCTTTTTTTTTTCAATCAAGGCTAGAACTCTATCACTTGAGTCACATCTCTACTTCTGGCTTTTTGGTGATTAATTGGAGGTGAGTCTCATGGACTTTCTAGCCCAGGCCTGGCTTCAAACTGCGATGCTCAGATCTCAGCCTCCTGAGTAGCTAGGATCACAGGTGTGAGCCACCAGCCCTTGGCTTAGGATTTTTAGCTCTTGATTAAATGTATGGGGAGCCAATGGAGGGTCCTCTTCCCCCCACCTCCACTCATTCTTTCCCACAGCTATGATGCTTTTCCTTTATAGTGCTGATCACAAATGTAAGTGTTTCATTTCATTATTGCTTTCTTCCTGTTTTCTTCATTAGCCATGTTAACCTCATCTGTGAATTTCTCAATTGTTTACATCAGTATTCCTTGAGCCCCTGCCATGGGCTACTGAGGGTATAGTTAATAAAAAACAAACAAACAACAACAACAAAAAGCTTGGTTTTTTTCTCCAGATGAGAAGGTGTATTGGTTAGCTTCCACTGAGTAACAAACCAAGAAAAAAAATAGTGATAGGTTAAAACAGGTTCTCAGATTCAGAAGGTTCCAGAAGCTGGGGGAAGCTGATCTCTGCTAGGCTCCTTAGACAGCTGCTAGGTTAGCTGATAACTGACTGGTCTCTTGTCCTCCACCAGTCTTGCCTGTCATATTGACATGGCTGGTTCAGGATTTCAGGTCTGAGAACAGAAATATCCAAAGACTCCTGAGGCCTAAGCTTAGAACAAAAATAATGTTGTACGTGGTTTGGGTTCAAAGTCACAAGGCCAGCTTGGACCCAGTGGATTGGGAAGTAGTCATGGCCTCTTGGGAGCCACCACTTCATGATACCTATCATGTGCCAAACTATTAGGCTTGAGCAATTAATTATAAATAGAGTAAAAGACCCTAATCTTATTCCTCTCGCACCCCAGGGAACCCATTATCCAGAACTTGTTCCTTATCCTGTGCATTTTTCCATATTCAAACCTCATCTACTTATATCCAAGCAATACACAAGATTGTCCTGCACAAGTAAACATTTTACACTGTGAATTGTCCCCATCCCTACCCCAACCCCTGGGCATATTGGCATTTGAACTTAGAACCTTGCATTTGCTAGGCAAGTACTATACCACTTAAGCCACGCCCCTGCCATTTTTCCTTCATATTTCAAATAGGGTCTTTGCACTTTTCCCTGACCCAGAATCTCACTCCAAATAGGATCTTCCTACCTCTACCTCCTGTGTAGCTGGGCTGATAGGCATATACTACCCTAGTTAGCTTGATCTTTGACGTAAGATCTCCATTTTTTGTGTTATTTTGTTTTTTGGCTGGGGTTGTTGGTGCTGTAATTACAGGCCTAAACTACCACACTTGGCCTTGTTAATATTTTTGTTGTTGTTGTTTCCAGTACACTATCTGAATAGCAATCACGAAACCTGAGTTACAAGCATGCCATGGAGTGTTTGTGGAAAATTCCATAAAGCTACCAAGTGACACTGTAAGAGAGCTGTAACAGTCTAGTAAATACCAGCCCAAAGCCTAAATAATGCTGAGTTAGGATGTGCTATATATTCCAAACCTTTAAGCCAACAAGACACTTACACCATCCTGGTACAAACTCAAAAACAATGCCAATTTTAGGTGGGCAACTGCCTGCCAGAGTGCTCAGCATGGCAAATCTCCACTTGACTGTCAGGTGGGAGTCCTTGAACAACAATACTAGCATCCCTGCCACATAGCACTTACCATATGCAAGCGCAGAGAATAAATAAACTGACTGCTCTCTCAGTGATGGAAGGTAAGCAGTACCCCCCCCCAATTTTATAGATGTAGAGTATTGAGGCACAGGTCATTTAACTAGCATAGGCTCAAACCCAGGCAGAGTCTAAGTTCTATCTGTTCTTGTTTTAATCTTCCCAGGAAATTGGCCAAACAGATATTATAATCAGATTCTCCAACTTATACCCTGAGACAAGTGATGCCCAGCGAGTTTGAGAATTCGTCCGATGTCACACAGATGGCCCAGAGTAAAGCATTCATGTTTGGGATTGTAGCAGGCTCTTACTCAAGCAGTGCTCAGCAGCCAAGATACTAGGATTCTCTAGGCAATTATTAGAAAAAAAATGCCTAAATCCGCTGTATCTCCAGATCTCCTGCTTTTACATTGTTGTTTTTTTTGGTTTTGGTTTTGTTTTTTTAATCAAGCTAGGATTATAGTAATCTAATAACTTGGTTTGAACTTGTAGCTAGGCTTGGTGGAGGCTTTATGTAAGGGAAAGAAAGTTCAAAAAGACTGCTCTAATTTGGACTAATTAAAGGGCAGGGGTGTAGAGAGACCCCAGGAACTAAAACACCTGAGTTGCCTCCAGTCTTTAAAAGAAGTTGGATTATTTGGGAGTAAAAGTTTCCTCAAAAGGTAGCCAGGCACTGATAGCTCACGCCTGTCACCCTAACTACTCAGGAGACTGAGATCTGAGGATCGAGGTCCAAAGTCAGCCTGGGCAAGAAACCTGTGAGGCTCTGATCTCCAATTAACCATCAAAGCCAGAGATAGATCTGTGGCTCAAGTGGTAGAGCGCCAGCAAGCCAGCCTTGAGTGAAAAAAGCTAAGGAATAGTAGGTACTTGGACCCTGACTTCTAGTCCCAGTATTGGCACATGCATGCATGTGTGCACGTGTA